AGAATTATTAAAACTATATAAGCATGAAGCATGACCACAGAAGAGATTACATGGAAAAATCATTAAAGATTATATAAATACAGAGTGCAATAACAAAGATGAGTAGATGTGAAAAAAAAGTTAATTTTATAAGTTAATTACTAACAAATGTTAATCTATCATATTATTTCTTTTTACTGAAATGAATGATGATTTATAAACATTAAAAGCAATGATGTTCTTCATAGTGAATGTGGGTTTTGTAAAAAATAGGTTATAGAAAAAGTTATAAGAATAATATGAAGTATGCATAAAAGATATTTAAAAGATAGCAATTTTTATTGTTCAAAGCTAATCACTGATCTTCTCTATCTACAAATATCAGTGAGCATTATATAGACAATGCTGCCATCACATTATATTCATTACAATTGATTTCAGTGTGTTCTATGCCTTTCTATCGCTATATATCTATTCTCTAATATAGATATCTCTGTTGTGTCTATTACAATTATCTTCTTTCTTCAAAGGCCTGGTTTTCAAAGCTTTTTATTGTAATATGTGAAGTTTATAATATGTGCTATATGGTTGATATTGTATAAAATTCGGAGAATTGAACTGAATTAAGTGCTGAGATTAATTTTGAAATATTGCTGTCTTGAAAGAATGTTTTTTAAATTCTTATATTATTGCAGTTCAATCATGATTTAGACACAATCTCTGAACCTTTTTCTTTTCTTTAACTTTTACATCAAAAATCATACTCTAACAAAATCATCACCAACATCATCATCAACAATTTTTTATTTAAAAAAGAATACATCAATTTATCAAGCAAATTACACTGTATCTTCTCACACAATTTTTATTGTGAAATTCAAAGTTTTGATTGTATGGTTGTATTTTTCATTTGAGATTGAGTTTTGTGTTGTTGCAATTTCTTTAATTGATATTGCAATATTGATTTCAATCATTAATATTTGTTTTTTGTTTTTTTATTTTTCTTTTTTATTGATTTTGCTTCTCCTTTTTCTTTGAAAGATTTTGATACTGATTTAAAATTGTGACAGAATGTCAGAACCAGCTTTTTTTATTATTGATTCAAGTTTATGAAAAATATATACTGTCTGCTATTAAAAGCATTT